AAAAATTCACTGAAGAAATTGAAATATTAAAGAAAAATCAAACCAATCTCCAAGAAATAAAGGACTTCTACAGGGAACTACAAAACACCGTGGAAAGCCTCAAGAACAGGGTAGATCAAACAGAAGAAAGAATCTCAGAGATTGAAAGCAACTTCTTCCAATTAAATAAGTCAGTCACAGAGATCAAACAGAAAATTAAGAGAAAAGAAATAAGTCTACAAGAAATGTGGGATTATGTGAAAAAACCGAACCCGAGGATGATAGGGATTCCGGAAGGTGAAGAAGAAAACACGCAAGGGATGCATAAGATATTTGAAGAATTAATAGAGGAGAATTTCCGAAGTCTTGCTAAAAATCTAGATATACAGGTACCAGAAGCTCAACGGACCCCAAAGAGATTCAATACAAATAGGAAGACACCACGTCATGCAGTCATCAGATTGACCAAAATATCCACTAAAGAGGACCTTCTACAGGCTGTAAGGTGAAAGAACAAGTAACATACAAAGGAAGGCCCATCAGAATAACTCCAGACTTCTCAACTGAAACCCTACAAGCAAGAAGAGACTGGGACCCCATTCTCACTCTTCTGAAACACAATAACGCCCAGTCTAGAATCTTGTACCTGCAAAACTAAGTTTCATATATAAAGGAGAAATAAAGACATTCTCAGATAAGCAAAGACTGAGGGAATTCACCAATATAAGGCCAGCTCTTCAAGAAGTACTCAAAACAGAATTATACAAGGATCAGCACAATAAACACTCTCGAATGTGAAACCACTCAAAAGTTAAAGATCAAAGGCTACATTCACAATGGCTCGAGAAAGAAAACAAAGCAACAAAATGCAACTCAAGAGAATGAACAGTAATTCACCCCACTTATCACTTCTCTCATTAAATGTGAATAGATTGAACTCCCCTCCAAGAGACATAGGCTGGCTGAAGGGATAAAAAAAAACAAGCCAAGTATCTGCTGTTTCCAGGAAATGCACCTAACCTGCAAGGATGCATGTAGACTCAAGGTAAGGGGTGGAAATCAATATTTCAAGCAAATGAAAGCCAAAAGAAGGCTGGTGTGGCAGTTTTGATCTCAGACAACTTAGTTTTTAAATCAACAAAAGTAATGAAAAACAAAGAGGGTCACTATATAATGGTGAAGGATTTAGTTCAACAAGAAGACATAACAATTCTAAATATGTATGCACCCAACTTAGGTGCATCCAGATTCATAAAGCAAACTCTACTTGACCTAAACAAATTCATAAACAGCAACACCATAATAGTCCAAGACTTCAACACCCTACTGACAGCACAGGTCAGATCCTCCAAACAGAAAATTAACAAAGAAATAATGGACTTAAACAGAACTCTAGAACAAATGGGCTTGACTGACATTTACAGGACATTCAACCCAAAAAAGACTGAACATACGTTCTCCTCATCAGCTAATGGGACATTCTCTAAGATTGACCATATTCTAGAACAGAAAGCATGTGTCAAAAAATTTTAAAAAATAGAAATTATACCATGCATCTTCTCAGATCACAGTGAAATAAAAATAGAAATCAATCCCAACAGAAATTCTCATCTCTACAAACAGTGATGGAAATTAAATGACCTTCTGCTGAACGATGCTTTCATAAACAAGGAAGTAAAGATGGAAATCAAAAGATTCTTTGAACTAAATGGAAAACATGACACAAGTTATCTAAATCTGTGGGACACAGCCAAAGCAGTCCTGAGAGGAAAGTTTATTTCCATAAATGCCTATATCCAAAAATCAAAAGAACACAAACAGGCAACCTAATGAATCGACTCAAAGAACTGGAAAAGAAGAAGAGACCGAACCCAAACATAGCAGAAGAAAGGAAATTAATAAGATCAAATCACAACTAAATGAAATTGACAACAGGGAAACTATATGGAAGATTAATAAAACAAAACGTTGGCTCTTTCAAAAACTAAACAAAATTGAAACGTCTTTGGCTAAACCAATGAAAAAGAGAAAAGAAAAATCTGTGACAAGCTCCATCAGGAACAAGAAAGGAGAAGTTACAACCGATGCCATGGAGATTCAAGAGATAATTTATGACTATTACAAAAGTTTGATGCAAATAAATCGGAAAATGTGGAGGAAATGGACAAATTTTTAGAAACACACAGCCTCCCTAGGCTCAACCGGGAAGAAATAGAATTCCTGAACAGACCAATATCAAGGACTGAAATTGAAACAGCAATAAAAAACATTCCAAAAAAGAAAAGTCCCAGACCAGATGGTTTCACACACGAATTTTACCACACCTACAAAGAATAACTGGTGCCTATCCCGCAGAAATTATTCCATAACATCGAGAAGGATGGATTCCTCCCCAACACATTTAATGAAGCCAACATAACCCTGATACCAAAACCAGGCAAGAAAGCAACAAAAAAGGAAAACCACAAAAATATCCCTTATGAATATAGATGCAAAAATTCTCAACAAAATTCTAGCTAATCAAATCCAGGTGCTTATTAAGAAAATAATCCATCATGACCAACTGGGCTTCATCCCAGAGATGCAGGGATGGTTCAACATACGCAAATCTATAAACGTATTTCACCACATAAACAAAAACAAAAACAAAAGCCATATGATTCTCTCAAAAGACACATAAAAAGGATTTGACAAAATTCAACATCCTTTTATGATAAGAACGCTTAACAAAATAGGAATAGACGGGGCTTACCTAAAAATGATACAAGCCATTTATGACAAACCCACAGCCAACATCATACTGAAGGGGGAAAATTGTAAGCATTCCCACTTAGAACTTGAACCAGACAAGGTTGCCCACTATCTCCACTTCTATTCAACATAGTACTGGAAGTCCTGGCCACAGCAATCAGGCAAGAGAGTGGGATTAAAGGCATACGAATGGGAATAGAAGGGATCAAACTCTCACTATTTGCTGATGACATGATATTATATCTAGAAAACCCCATGGATTCAACCAAGAGGCTTCTGGAATTGATAAATGAATTCAATAAAGTCTCATGATATAAAATCAATACAGAAAAATCAGAGGCTTTCATATATGCCAATAGCAGTCATACTGAGAACCAAATCAAAGACTCAATTCCCTTCACAATAGCAACAAAGAAAATAAAGTACCTAAGAATATATTTAACTAAGGAGGTAAAAGACCTCTAC